GGGCAGGGCAGGGCAGGGCAAGGACCAGCGGTGTCGCGGCTGTCTCTTGGGCCGCGCCGCTGCCATGGAGACGCTGTACCGCCTGCCCTTCGCCGTGCTCGAGTGCCCCAACATCAAGCTGAAGCGGCCGAGCTGGGTGCACATGCCTTCGGCCATGACCGTGTACGCGCTGGTGGTCGTGTCCTACTTCCTCATCACCGGAGGTGAGGCCGGGGCCGGCGGGAGACACCGCTTACGGAGTAGCTCTTCCTTAGCAGGGCGGGCTGCTGGACCCTGCCCCGCGTAGCACAGCCACTGCTGCTGCTCACCCCTTGTCCAGCTCCAAATCGGTCGTAAAACGCGAACCCCGGCCACCTCCGAGCGTCCCTGCGGTGTTAGGGTAGTACTCGCTGTTTGCTGCTGTGTGTCAAAGGTGATGCTTGCTTATCTCCCCGCAGGGATTATCTATGACGTGATTGTGGAACCTCCCAGCGTGGGGTCGATGACAGATGAACATGGGCACCAGAGGCCAGTGGCCTTCTTGGCATACAGGTAGGAGGGTGGGAGCAAGGGTGCTGCAAGTGCCTAAACACAGGTGAATAAACCTGTGTTACAGACCTGTGCATCTGATTTTTTTGAGCGCTCTGTGCAAGGCTGGATCAGTTCTAGATAAGTCCTTGATTTGCAAATATTAAAAAAAAAAAACCAAAAAAACCAAAAACTAAAACAACAAACAGCGTTGAAATGAAAAGTCTGGGAAGAAAAATGTTTTGAGCTGGTGGTACTTGTCTTTCTTCCAAACTGTTGCTATTAAAGTTGAGCTTTATAGTGGATGCAGACACATTTGATGATATTTCATAAGTAGCATACATAATGTTTGTGAAATTTTTGGTTCTGACCTTTTAAACTTTAGTGTAATAGAGACTCTTGAGTCTGAGGTTAGGGAACATAGAAATGTGTAACAACAGTGTCTTTGAGCCTTTTGCTTCTATTACTGCAAATAAGCTAGAGACTGCTTAATAACAAATCGGTCTGGAGAGGGTTAAATCTACATTTTTAACTGTGTTATGTGTGTGGAAACAAATAATTCTTTTTGTTAAATACCAAAAAATTTCCTTGAATCAGAGGTCTGACATTCCTCGTGTACAGATTTTGACTTGAACTAGATGTAATATATGTCTCAGACTGGCTTGGATTTTTGCAGTGTAGATGAATCGGGCTACTGCAGGGAGTTGATAGCACTTTAGTACAAGTCAGTGAAAACAATATGGAATGGGACAACATTGTTTTCAGGATATGAGACAATAATGATAACGTTCATTCTTTATTGGTATCCGCAGTAGTTTCATCCATGGCAATTTTATGAGGTTGTTACTATTACTAGTTACAAGGATGGGGAAAAAGGTTCAGTGACAGTGGGAAGTAGGAGTCTCATGATCTAGGTGCAGTTCTTTCTGCATCTCAGTGTCCTCTCTTTCTGTCTGAGCATTGTAAGAAGGAAGTCTGGCTGTATAGATTCCCAGAGAGCTGGGACACTTTCAGGCTGGGTCCTCACAATCAATATATGCAGTCTTAAGCAAGCCCGTAGCAAAACATACTGCAGACAAGAACCTGCTGTGTGCTGGAACTAGCAGCTATGCTTCGTGCACTGCCATAGTGCTTTGAGTGGGATTTTTACTGAGATGAGGATTCAGGCACTGCTGCCTAAACATGGGGGTGGAAATAAGACTTGGAAAGCTCAGTGGCCCAGTGGTCAAGTTTCTGTGCCTTGAGTCATCTGTAAAACCAGGTGCTGCTTTGGACTAGATATTTCTGAAAACTGATGAACTTGTGTGGTAGCCATGAGTATACACTATTATGTATACTCATAATATTGAACTTGACTGGACACCTTGCAGACTGTCAGTCCCAGAGATAAATTATGTATTAAGGCCTTAATTGCATAACGTCAGTTCCCATACTTACTTTTTGTTAGAAAGTCAGCCATAAAAGTTAATCATCCCGTGTATTTGTACAGCTAAAGCAGTTTGAAATGTAAATACTTTCTTTGAAACTAATCTTTTTCTGACTCTCTCTTCTTCCCTTCCCTCCTTTTTTTTTCTTTAGAGTAAATGGGCAATATATTATGGAAGGGCTTGCATCCAGCTTCCTCTTCACAATGGGCGGCCTAGGATTCATAATTCTGGATCGATCCAATGCACCAAATATCCCCAAGCTGAATAGGTTTCTTTTGCTCTTTATTGGATTTGTCAGTGTGCTTTTGAGCTTCTTCATGGCTAGAGTTTTCATGAGGATGAAATTACCGTAAGTGATTTAATACCGTTTCAGCTTTTCTTCTCTTTTGTGGCTCATGCGTGCCTATGTTAAATTTAAGAGTAACAGAAAATACAATGAGGTATGCTAAAGATCTGCAGCTTGGCTGTAAGTTGCATTTTTTCAACACTTTTTTGAACAAGCTACCTTGAATGAGGTGGGATGCTTTTGGGGTCAGGAAAAAAAAAAAAAAAAAGGTGACAGTTCCTGGAATGTCAGAAGACATGGTTAGTGAGTCTGACTTAGAATGAATTTTAGAGTAGACTGAGTATTTACTGGCCGAGTAAAAGTAATTACAAGTTAGGGCTTTGAGGAAAAATCAAGTGTCAAAGAACTTGAAGAAAGGCAAATGAGTTCTTCATAGTGACAATTTACATGAGAGATCATAACTAGAAGAACTGATGACAGCAGTAACGAGTATTCAGAAACATCCAAAGCAGTCTTAAAGTAAAGGTGATGTTTCAGGGTTTCTTTATTGCTGGAAAAATGAATGTAACATTGAAGTATACAACATATGTGATGTTTTAACACATCTATATTCACAGATCAAAAAGTAGGAAAGATCTGGAGCTTTCAGGGTATGCAAAATCCAACTGCAGGATTTTCAATTCTTCCCTCCCCTTCCTACCTTTATTTCTCAGTCCATCTATTTCATTTAGAATAGCTGAAACCTGGTGTTTGGAGGTACTGGTAGTTAATTTTTGAAGTAGCTCCATGACATGTTGACTTAACAATGACAGTCATTCCTTCTTCCTTAAATATTTTTATTTTAACTTCTTCAGTGTAGTTAAAAATTTTGTCTTTTAACACAGAAGTGATGGGTTCCCTGGCAGCAGGTAGCTGGATAGGGACCTGCTCTATATCTTGCTTCATTAGTGCTATATATTTTCTTGTTTCATTCAGTACGCATGTTTCTTAACAGAGACCAGAGTTGTGTTGAGTGCCAGAAAATGTTGGGTTATACTGAATATCTTAACACTTACAGTTTGTGTAAAGGGTACAAATAAAGAACCTTTCCAAAGGGTTATCGAAGGTGGATTGAGAACAGGCTAATGCACTTTTCAGTGTTAATTGAAGAAAATCAGCTGAGGAAAGAGCATGTAGTTAAAGCAGGCCAGTTTGTACCCTAGACAGGTTTTATTGTTTTAAATAGCTTTGATCAGCAGAGTTTTTGGCAGTCTGAAGTTTATGTTTTAAGACTGTGTGTCTCTTGATTTTTGAGGAGTGCTGCCTGCATCTGCTAACTTTTTCTCTTTTTTTTTTTTCCTGTAGGGGCTACTTGATGGGTTAGTACCTCTTGTGATGTATGGAAGCTGGAGATGAATTTACTCCTCTTCATGAATTGTTTAAGAAGCAGCAGCAAGAAACAAATTCCATAGTCACCGTCAACAGGAAGGAGACTTGGCCATGAGAAACAACTAGGGAAACTGCTTTCTCTGCAAACAAACTCCTCTTCCAATGGCTGATTTGTGGTTTTGAAGCAATGGTTTATCACTTCTGGTTTAGAGCTTTTGAAAAGACCAAGTTACCTAGCTGGGTTTTTCTCTTATATCCCAACTCAGTATGAAATAGAGAACCTATCTTCAGCTCTACCTGAAATGAGTATTAGCCATTGTCTTGACAGTTCTTTGTTGCAGGTCTGTCTCCTCTTCCCTGTGTGGGAAAATTACATGTGTGATTCGAAGAATGTTTCTTTCCAAGTTATAATTAGAAAATTAGTAACTTTGGATGATTTACAGTCAAAATACAACGTGTCAGGAATTACTTTAAAGGCACCTTTTGCCTTTATATTAATGGCTCTATGTGAGCGAATCCAGACATGCACTAGGAAAGGCAAACTCTATGAATGTGCATTTCTTTTTGAAAAAGTGTATGAAAGGAGCCAAATAAAACTTATTTTCTACAAAATTATTTGGATTCTATTCAGTTTCTAAAACTTTCTTGTGTGCATGGCCTGTTCTACATCCAGGCTTGAGATGCCATACCATAACATGACCGTATAATTTCAACTTTATTTTTCACTATTGAATAATGATTTCTTTTTATTTTAAATATCAGGGACAAGAAACCTTACATTTTCCTGCACTTGTACTGGTTCCAAATGACATACTGTTATCAGTAGCCAAGAAAACTTGCTTTTGAAGCTGCTGCTTTTTGTGTGAGAGGCGAGGCTCCAACTTATTTTGTCTTCATTTTAAAAGACTGAATGTTTTCATTGAAGTAACGTGTATTGCAGTCTGGGGGAAGGAAAAATCCCTCTAAATCTCCATAAATGCTTTTTGCAAGCCATATGTGTTTGAAGCACTATTTTCATCTGTATAATTATCAGTGAGAAATGTTTATTCCTGTCATTGTGAGGTATTACTGTTCACATACTTAATCAAATTTTTGAGGTAGCTATTAATCATCTGCCCTCTGGATATGTCACTTCTACTCCCTCATTCTTACATACAATGGGACTTTGGCATTTGCTCATCTTACATGTTTTTCATTAAGATTTAAGGTAGCTTAAGCTGTTTCATGAGGCTCATAACCGCAAAGTTTCCAGTCTTTTCAAAGTGGTTATCTTTTGGTCACTCTGTTTTTGGTGAGACATATGCTTACCTTCAAGGGGGAGTATTGATATTATGTAACTAAATAACTGGATACTTAACCCAAGTTTTTAATACATCTGAGAGGGAAGTCAAACCAGAAAGTCACTTCACTGGGGATAAACAAGATCCCTCCACTTCAGTATTTGTCCCACTGCAGTTCAGCTTCAGCCTCCAAGATTATTCTAAATGAGCATGCTCTTATACAGTGGTTTTAATGGCATAGTTGAATGCTTATAGTCTATGAAATGAATTTGATTTACATGCAAGGTGACATGGAATAAATAAAGCAGACTCTTAGAATTGTAAGGTAGAAGATAGTTTTGGGAGAGTAAAAGTAAGATGATAACTTTGCAACAAACAAGGTTTAAAAATCCCTTATATTTCTTTGGCTGTAAATTAGATTTGGTACGATCCTCTGCCAAAGCATGAGGCACAGAGAGAACCAGGAAAATGACTACCCAGAAATTAGGAATGTGCTAGGTAGGAAGATGTCAAAATGCACAACTGGAGATTGGTTCTTTTTGGATGTGGGTTGGAGGTGCTTGGTCACTCAGGGAAAAATTTCTACTGAGCAGTGTCAAACTGCAAAGAAGGGGTATTGCTGTGCTTTATAGGAATCCATTTTCAGTTAAAGAAAGGCTGGTATTTTCTGTAAATGTTTGCTGTTCTTTATAGGTAACAGCAGGTGGCCTCTCCTGTAGGGGTTTAGGATAATAATAGGAATATTTCTGTGACTGAAAGGAAATTTCCTATAACGAGTGGCAATATCCATCTGTGGTGCTCAGCTCATATCTTCTAGGGTGAACTGAACTAGATTGTGGGGTGGACAATTAAAAACAAAATTGTAACACTGTGATAAAGGTAAAGCAGAGCTTATAGGAACACATCTTTCCATGATTAAAACCAGAAGTTTGGCCTGCTTCCAAATGCAACAAAAAGAGTCAGTCTGAAGTGTAGAGGTCTTGATTTTCTGGCACTTTTGCTGGAGAAAATACTGAATCCATGGCTCCTCTGTAGGCTTCAGTATAATCACTGAGTGATGATGCCCAGTCAATATAGTCAGGAAGAGATATATAATCTGTGTAGCTTTAGAAAGTTAGTATATACATATAGGAACCCTTAACAATCCAAGTGGTCTTGTATTTGAGTTAAGCAGAAAAATACCTCTAGATAAAGAAGACTAGACATTGTTTTCCTTCTTATCCCCCAATACTTTTTCCAGACTTCTGCAAGTTGTGGAATACTAACAGAGTCATAGTGGAAAAGACCTTTAAGATCATCAAATCCAACCATAAATCTAACACTGCCAAATCCACCACTAGACCATATCCCTAAGCACCACATCTACTCATCTTTGAAATACCTCCAGGGATGGTGACTCAACCACTTCCCTGGGTAGCCTGGTCCAATGCTTGGTAACCCTTTCAGTGAAGAAATTTTTCCTAATATCCAATCTGAACCTCCCCTGGCACACAGAATCACAGAATCATCTAGGTTGGAAAATACCTTGAAGATCACCTAGTCCAACTGTTAACCCAGCACTGACAGTTCCCAACTACACCTGATCCCTCAGCACTATGTCGACCCAACTCTTAAACACCTCCAGGGATGGGGACTCCACCACCTCCCTGGGCAGCCCATTCCAACACCCAACAACCCCTTCTGGAAGGAAATGCTTCCTAATATCCAGTCTAAACCTTCCCTGGTGCAACTTGAGGCCATTCCCTCTTGTCCTATCACTTGTTACTTGGTTAAAGAGGCTCATCCCCAGCTCTCTGCACCCTCCTTTCAGGTAGCTGTAGAGGGTGATGAGGTCTCCCCTCAGCCTCCTCTTCTCCAGACTAAACACCCCCAGTTCCCTCAGCCGCTCCCCGTACGACCTGTGCTCCAGACCCTGCACCAGCTCCGTTGCCCTTCTCTGGACACGCTCGAGTCATTCAATGTCCTTTTTGTGCTGAGAAATGTATAAATATATGTTCTTAAGGTAAGAATTAGGAAGCACTAGATATTAGACTTAAGAGTTACAGTCTTAGAAGCTGAGACAATCTTAAATTTCTTCTGCTGCTCCCAATAGAGAGAGCAAATGTGTGAGTATGGGGAAGACGGCAATTCTCATTTATTTTCCTGACATGCATGAAAATGCTGCATATGATGGACAATGTTTTCCTACAGCATAACGATGTCTGTGACAATGTAATTGATACTGTAAATTTGTGAATGTGATTGTGTTTTTCCTTCGGCATTACAGTTTTCTTCACAAAAAGAGTTGCAGCAGTAGCTCTGGCCTACTTTTAGAATTTCTAATTACTGCTTCTCAACTTTGAACTTACTTTAGGATATTTTTCTTTCAGAACATGGTTAAAGAGCCTTGAAACCATTACAAGAAAGGAACTGGAACAATTGTAAGTATCTCAGAAGGATAACATTTTTTAATGCTCTGCAGTTGCATTGAGGCCTTCCAGCTATACTGATGATTGGAGAAATCTGGATAAATCTGGGTTTTAGTAACAGGAAAAAATAAACTAATGTATCAAACTCTTCTTAAAGGGTAGTGTTTCATGAGAAGTGGCTACTAGGAATATGAGAGCTTCTAGGTGATTTGGTTTCTTTGGTAAGAACTAATTATGCTGGTGTCCGTTTTGTTTGACATGGATAGCTGCCAGCCAAGATCAGGACAGACCATGGGCTTGTTTCAGAGTGACAGCTGTGGCACTATAATGTGAGTCAAGCATGTCTGACTTGCACCACATAGATGCGAGGCTCTGCATTCTGCTATCTAGTATCTTGAAACTATAAAGCAACTTGCTGAGCTCCTGTTTAATGATATCAGTTTAGTTACTAATGTTCTTTGGGTATAAGATGGAGTAACTATCCCATATGGGTTCTACAAATGTCAAATCTCTTAGAGTGTTCTACCTGCAGGTTGCAAGAAATAATACTTAGATGTGAGTAAATCAGATCAATATGGTATCCACTGCCTTATGCATGTGAAAGACTGACATTTGTAATTTCCTTCTTTTTGGTATCAGTTTTCACCACAAAAATCAATGTTGAGGTGGGGACTGGTATCCCTTTGTTGTCAGTGGTTATTGTACTCTTCTAGCTGAAAAGAGGGAAAGAAAAATTTTGAGAGAGTGATTGTGTTATTCTAGAGTAAACCCTGAAAGTTAACCTTTTTTCTATGTTACTTAGTAGACAGGCTGAAATAATTTCAGTACTTTTAGCCATTCCTGACATCTCCTGGATGATAGGTAATATGTTCACTATATTCAGCCTTCCAGTACCTCATCTGTCTTTAAATGCAGATGGAGAGTGTGAGGGATGGAGAATAATAATTAAAAAAAAAGCTTACCTTCAATCTGAAGAAAAAGTTTTGAGGGGCAGGGGAAGCATTTTAAGCACCTGGAAAAAAATGGCAAAAAGATGAGTAGCTGACTTGGATTTTTAAAGAATAAGTCATATGAAGAGAAAGCCATAATGAGAGTTATGGGCCCCACAGATAGAAGAAAAGCAGATGTTTAGGCCGTAGCTTTTGATACTGACTTGCACGTTATGAAAACTTGGCTTAGCCGAAACAACTATAAGCTGGATGCCAAAGTACTCTGAAAACCATTTTCAGAGAGTGTTTACTTATTAGCTGATGTCCTTTTATCAAAGAGGAAAGATATTTAATGTTTGAGGTCTGTCCTATGGCTAGTTTTGTTCGACACACAGTGACCTGGATCGAGTAGGGAGTACTTTACTAAATCAGCAGAAATCATAAAACACAGAGACTGCTGGGAGGGCAGAATTGGGATACACAGTGGTCTTCACAAACTGAGTGCCCTAAATATTCTTTCTATGAAAAAAGTGCAAAATGCCAGTGCTACTCAAGCAAAATAACTGACAAAATGCAGGATTCCTCAGGGTAAGTCCTTGGGTTCTGCTGCACTGCAAGCTGAAGAGCAGTGTTTGCCTTTTGTGCAGCAATACAACAGCATACAGAGATATCTGCAAAACTTTTAACTACAAAGTGTATGAGGCATAAAAGTAAGTGTGAAAAGGAAAGGAGTAATTTAATTTCTGTGTCAGTAGTAGACACAGCTTTAATAGCAGCAAGAAAGAGTGGGCTAATACTAGAAAAATATTTTTGAGGGTAAAATAGATGACTACTGGACTAGATGGTCCATGGCTGCTGTGTGCAGCTTTAAGAACAGGCTAGACAAATGTCTTTTAAAATCTGCAGATTCATCTGGCCTTGTTTTAGGGTGAGTGATTGGCTTCTTGAGGCGTCTTCCAGCAGTTGCCCATCTTTATTATTCTGGGGATGAGAAA